GGGGCCCGCCGCCGCCGCGGCCGCGGCGCGCCTGGAGGCGCCGGCGGGGCCGTCGTCTGGGTAGTAGCCCACCCCCTGGGACCCCTTTTTGAACACCCAGCCCGGCCGCGCGCCCGCGAAACGTGCGCTGGGCTGGAAGCCGTCAGACGCCTCCGCCGCCTCCGCCCCTGCCGCGTCCTGCTGCTGCTCCTCCTGCTCCTGCTGCTGCTGCTCGTCGCCGCCGTCGTCGTCGCCCTCCGCCGCGTGCCGCCGCCGCCGGTCGCGGGGCCCGCGCAGGGCGCGCGCGACGGGGGCCGGGGCCAGCAGGTCTGTCATTGGGTTGTGCAGCCGCGGCAGCGGCACCTGCGCGTCACAGAAGTGCGCCGTTTTTTGGTCATTGCCGAGTGTTCAGAATCGGCGGTCGGCGGGGCGCCTGGAATGGAGCTGCACCCATCGCGGCGTCGCCGCAGGGCCACGCATGAGCGACCACCTGGAACCACCCCAAGCAGCCAGCCGAGGCAAAGCGAGCCCACTGTCGGGTGAACGCGGGGCAGTCTCGGACGCGACGACGAAAACAACGCGCAGCCGGGCGCGTCGCCTGCCCCCCACCTGCACCCAGGCACGCAGGAAGACGATGTCGCTGATGAGGGGCTTGTCCTCAAACGTCACGCGCACCGACCCGTCGCGGCCCCCCTGCACGCCTGTTGGCTCGCGGGTGGGTTTAGGGGTTCAGGATTCAGGGTTTAGGGATTGTTGAGCAATCCGGCAACAGCAGGCCGATACCAGCGCAGCTGCCAATATGCCCGCAGATATCTGCTTCAGAACTCTTGTCGCATGCCAGGCGCCAGGCAACAGCGGCACACCGCCAGGTGTCATCAAGCGCGTTTGGAGGACTGCCCGTGGGCCCAGGCCGTGCACGCACCCGGCCGCAGCGCCTTCTTGATTGTGCCGCGTATGCCGCTGACCGTGCGCACCGCCGCGCCCTCAAACTTGGACGCCTCGACCTGGCTGGTGAACATGCCCCCGACAAACGCCGTGTGGCGGTGCACCTGTGGAGGAAGGGGGGGGAAAAGGCGCGCGGTGAGATGCTGGGTGCTGCACGGCATGGAGGCGACAAGTACTGCAGAGCGCGGCTGCTCCAAACGCCCAAAATGCCAAGGAATCCGATCAGCTCTAAGGAACCCCGAGACACTAGGTTCTTGCTTCACAGCCGCACACCAGACCGCGCCCCCCCCCCCCAAACACACACACACACACACACACACACACACAGACACACACACATGTTTGTATGTGTGTGCCGCAAGCATGCGCGCACATGCACATGCGCCTACATGCGAAACATGTAGGCGCAACACTTGCTCTCAAGCACTCACGCGCGCGTGCACACACACATACACACACACACACACACACACATACACATACACACATGCACACGCACGCACAAAGGTGTGCGCGCACGCTCACCTTGAAGGGTGTCCCCACGAGCTTGAGCTTCTTCACCACGCGCAGGTCAGCCTCCTGCTCCAGCACCACCCCTGTGCCCGCGATGCGCCACGACGCCGCGCTGGGGTTGAGCGCCACGCCCGCCTGCAGCGCGACAACCCCTGGTATCAACAGCCGAGAAGAAACAAACAGGAGAGTAAGGATATAGATGAGGGAGCTTGACAGTGTGTAGAAAGGCCGGCTGAGTAGGGGGCCGGGAGAGGGTCGGGCAGCAGGTTCGGTCGAAAGGCCGGCGGTCAAACGCAGGTCAACAGTGGTCAACGCACCCGTGTTTGGCGGCGCGAACGGCCCGTGGACCGCGGCGACGCAGTGCATGTGCTGCGGCGTGTACTTGATGGCCCGCAGGCGGCGGTTGTGGTCCTCCAGGGCGTACAGGGGTATGGCCTGGTAGCGCCGCCAGCCGGCGGACAGGATGAGGGGGTCGCGCGTCTTGAGGGTCTTGGGGTACCACCTTGGGGTTGTTTGTTTGGGGGGGAGATCAAGGGTATGGGGGGAGGGAGGC